ATCGGATACAGAGTGTTTCCTGTGAGGTAAGAACTTATTCATACAAACTGCATGTTTCAGACAGCTAACAAATGAGGGGCGGGCGAACCAATACAAGTCGGAGCGAATGTGCAGAGTCACGACCGAAAAGAACTACGGAGACTAGATGCTGTAATGGGTCTGAGGTTCGACACGGATCAGCATGAAATATTTCTCAGATTACGTGGCTGGCCTATGGGTGGTGGTGTTGTATGTGGGCCACATATGCCATGGGCCCCGCCCTGGCGTGGCTTGCCCCACGATCGGGAGATGTTGCAACTCTTATTACAGCAATCGATTTCAACACCCAGACCAGAGAATATCTCAACCGTCCACGAGCACACATATCATCTCTCTACTTTTGGGTATTTAACGACACTGTCAACTCTAAGAGTTGCTTTCCGTGACGGACTCATTACACATAAAGACTTATAAAACGCCAGTATGGACATACTTTAAATTTTAACCGAATTCGCTTCTAGTGACAAGAGGAAAAACCAATGCCGAAATTCCCAGGGCCAATAATTCAGTTTCCCAGCCATCAAACCACAATTCGATTCGTGAATCAAAGTCATACAGTTGACAGTTCCTTAAGCCCTGCACGTCACTGATCTAAGTCAATATTTCAACCGTGTTCTGCTCAAGCAGTGTTGCTTCCTTTTTGCCATCTCTCAGATACGAAGTCAACAACACAAGTTGTTCAGTCTCCAATTAAAAATGACACTGCGATTATTCGTAACAACTTGCGGGAGGAAGTGGTCGTGGCCTACATTAAAGTACAATGAAGAATTCCCAGAGAAAACATGGCCAGAGTTAAGTAACCGAACAGGGGACATCCTCATAAGTCTTGCGGATGAGAATACGCATGCTGTCAGCACAGAAGGCATTAAAACACATCGGTTACTTCACACAGATGTCGCCACTGAGCAATCCGACACTTTGTTGGGGCCAGATCGCACACAAAGCATTCCAGCAAACGGCTTATTTCACAGAGATACCATCACTGAGCCAATGACGTAACAATTTCATGCACTGTATTACGCAGGAGGACCGCACAGAAAGCATTCCAATAGAATGCTTATTTTACACAGATGTCTCCATTAAGCCAGCAACGCAACAATCCTACAACCCTTCATTTCGTATTGCAGGCGGAAACAGCACTAACAATAATCAAATAAAAAGGCGTAGATCACACGGGTGTCTCCACTGTGCAAGTGACGCAACAATCAGCACTCTTATCAATTCGGAAGGCACTGGAACAGTGAGATGCGTAACCCCGTGTGCACGAAGCTCTCACCTCAATATCTGCCCACTCATTGAGCGAGATGAGTCTCGTAACAAGAAAAAGAACCTGTCCATATGTGGCACAGCATCTTCAGCGTTGCTAGGCAACGAGAAAGATACGGGCCCACACCGACAGAAAGTCCCGATCGCATGGTCCACAGATCGACTATACTGAGTTCTTTTTTTAATCCTAATTCATTTAAGGACACTATTAGCAGCCCAGAGGTAAGCCGCCATAGATCAGTCGGTATAGTGAGCAGCTACCGGGCTGGATGGCCGAGGGGTCGGGGTTCGAGTACCGCTAGGGGCAAGATTCTTCTCCCGTACACGTGGTCCAGACGGGTTGTGAAGCCAATTCAGCCTCCTATCCAATGGGTACCGAGGGCTCTTTCTTCAGGGGTAAAGCGGCACGGGCGTGAAGCTGACCATTCACCTCCAGTTAGTGCCTAGATCAAAAATACGTGGGTTTATACGTCCACTCCCCCATACGCCTTTATTGCGTAGTGCTTAATTACTGAAGCACAGGGATAACTTCATCTTTATCAGCAGCTTAGAGTATACTTGTACAGAGATAATAAAGTTTTCTGTGGTTTTCTTCAGTCTCTCAAGATAAAGGCCAGACAGTACCTCAAATTAGGCCATTCCACTATTCGACTCTGTATGTCCGGACTAGTGTCGTAGTTAGATAAACAAATGTCACAGCGCATGGGTTCAGTACTAGGCAAATCCATATGTGATATGTGGCGGAGAGAGGGGTATGGACACAGGGTTTCCCTTGCCAATTATCATTCCACCAATGCCTCGTAATCATCTATCACCGGGCCTGAAACGTGCGACAGGCACGCCCGATAGGAACGTGTCACCACTTCGGAGCTCTGTTGCGGCCTCGTCTCCTCCCGGCGCCGGGCTGCACGCCCGACGGGTCCCGCACATCTCAGCCCTTACGTCCTATCCTATGTTGGTTCGTGTCTGTCAGGTCCAGTGACAGAACAGCCTAACTGACCTTTTCTTGAGCAGTTGTCGCTAGACAAATGCTGGAATAGTACCTTAAATTATGCCATAAAAGGTGGCGGGTTCGATTCGCGATGAGATAATTTTATTTTTCAATTTACCTAATCCTTCCAGTCGCACTATGGGCCAGGGTTCGACTCAGCCTATAACAGAATTGAGTATCAGGAATCTTTCTGGGTGTAAAGGTTGGCCGGCGCTTAAGGCCGACAACCTCACCGCCACCTGCGAGCCGATTGTGTAGAAAATGTGGGAGCCTCGACGTCTCACAAACCTATGGGCCTCCACGACCTGTTACAGGGATGGCTTTACCTTCTTTTATCGCTTCCTTCACATAATTTGCATTTCATTGTTAACTTCTTGTTGCACTATTCGACGTTATATAGTGTCGCTAAATTAACGAATAGAATACATCAGAAAGAGTGACTGTAACACACTGCGCCATCCATTAACAAGTTCTGAAACTTCTACCCGCGAGAAGTCGCCTCTGTTATGAAAACAAAGCGATATTTCAGGTTCTCACCGCGGCACAATGGCGACGGTCTTCCGCGAAATGACGCCGTATACTTTGGTAGATAGGTACTGACGTTGCGGAAGAACCTGTATTAAGGATAGATATATTTATTTTATTATCTGCTTGTGGTTTACTTACTTGAGGTTGCACAGCGGATAGCGGTCAGTTAATCTAAGGCACTATTCCAGCATGTGCTCGGGAGGAGGGACTGAGGTAAAAAGGTAAAACCATCCCTGTAACAGGCCGTGGAGGCCCATAGGGTTGTAAGATGTCAAGGTTCCAACATTTTACTGACAATCAGCTCACAGATTACGGTGAGGTTGCCAGCCTTACGCGCCGGCCGCCCTTTACCCCCAGGAATAATCCTAGTACTCATTTCTCTTAGAGGCTGAGTCGACCCCAGGGCCATAGTGCGGCTGGAAGGATTAGGTAAATTGAAAAATCCAGTGACCTCATGGGAAATCCAGCCAGCGACCTTCTGGCT